GGTTTAGGGTTGAAGATTTAAGGGTTCCGTTACAATTCAGGTTGCCTCCCGAAGACTGCCTGTGGGAGACGTTTTGTCAGGAAGAAGAGGTAGCAAGAGAAATGTACAGTGATTACTTCAACGAGCAAGAAAGCCTACACGAGGACCTGGAAGGGTTCTTCTAAGGGCTTATAGAGTCTATAATAGAGGTTCCTGTAAAGGTTTGTAAGGTTTAAGGTTAGGGGTTTAACAGGGCGGCATAAGGTTAAGTTGCCCTCAAAGGTCCTACTTGGTTTAGGGCAGAGGGTCACCCGTAAACCCTGTTGCATTTTAAGGTCCTTTGGAGGCTCGTAAGAACACCTGAAGTTTACGCTGTGTAGAAGCGCACGTTTACCACACAAGGGGCGTGAAAAATAGCAATGTGTTTGCCTCGAGCTCAACTAAGATTTACAGTTTCAAGCACCCTAACCGTTGTCTAGCAATGCTCGTTCTTTGTCTAGGTCATCAGCTTTCGTTTGGTAGTAGTGCAGGCCCGTGTACGGAAAACCTCTAGCAACGAGACCTTCCAAACCTCAAGCCATTCATACGAAGCCCTGTTCGACTTGTTTGGGCGGCGACTAAGCCACCGTGTAACGTGACAAAGTTCCAAGCTGTGCTAACAGCCCTAGCCGTGAATCCTACACTCTAAACAGCTCCAAGCCCCAAGCCCTAAGCACTAAACCCTAAACCCAAACCCCAAAGCCTAAACTCTAAACCCCAACCCTAAACTCCAGACCCTAAACCGCCAAGCCAAAAACCGTAAACTCTAAAGCCCTGAACCCTACATCCGAAACAGCTGAACTCCTATAGAACCCCGAAAGACGGGTTTGGGGTTTAAGGTTTAGGGTTTAGGGTACGCAACTATAGCGACCTGGCAGACTACTTCCACCGATGGAGGAATCCACCATCTCCAGCCCTATATTATGCCTAAGGGTTCAGGGTTTAGGGTTTAGGGGTTGCAATAATTACTAATATTTTCCTAAGGGTTCCTTCTAATAACTATACTTTGAGATAACCCAAAACTTGTTTTAAATGAATTGTTTAAAAAGTAATTAATACAAATTATCAAGGCCCCTGGAACCCTACAAACCCCTCTTATAAGAACCTTTTTTGCAGGAACCTTAGTCTAATTATTAAGCATCTTCTCCGCGTTGAAGGCGTGACTCGGGTCTACGTCGGGCTCGAGACCTTGGTCAGGACGTTTAGGGTTCAGGGGCTTAAGGTTTATGGTTCAAGGTTTATGGTTTAATGCTTATGATCTTAAGTTTAGGGTTCCTGGTTCTAAGGGTTTAAGATTTTTCGGGTTTACGGTGTGAGGTCTAGAGTTTGTTTAATGTTTGCTATAAGGGCCTAAATAATTGCCAATACTGTTTTTGGGGGTTCCTTATTAGAATCATAGTAGAATATACCTCGAAACCCTATTCTAATTATTCAGACCCTCACATAGAACCCTATCATAGATCCCTCATAGAA